TCCATCATCCAGGTGAGGGCGGGGCTGGGGCTGTGTCCATCATCCAGGTGAGGGCGGGGCTGGGGCTGCGTCCAGCATCCAGGTGAGGGCGGGACTGGGGCTGCGTCCATCCAGGTGAGGGATGGGCCGCATCCATCATCCAGGTGAGGGTGGGGCTGGGGCTGCAGTCCATCATCCAGGTGAGGGCGGGGCTGGGACTGCGTCCATCATCCAGGTGAGGGCAGAGCCATAGTCCATCACACAGGTGAGGGCGGGGCCGCGTCCGTCACACAGGTGAGGGTGGGGCTGGGGTCGCATCCATCATCCAGGTGAGGGCGGGGCTGGGGCCGTGTCCGTCACACAGGTGAGGGCGGGGCTGGGGCTACATCCATCATCCAAGTGAGGGCAGGGCCGCGTCCATCATCCAGATGAGGGCGGGGTCGCATCTATCATCCAGGTGAGGGCGGGGCTGCGTCCATCATCCAGGTGCCATAGTCCATCACACAGGTGAGGGTGGGGCTGGGGCCCTGTGTACAGGTGAGGGCCTAGAACAGTGTGTGGGCGGAGGCGGGAGTGAGAATGGGGATCAGCTAGAGCAGGGCAGACACACCTGCCCGCTTGGTGTGAGTCCCAGAGCCTGTGCCCCAGGCAACGCGTGACTGCCTGTGTACACCAGCCCACCCGCTTGTCAGCGCCGTGACATTACACGAGATGGCACTTGCAGAACCGTCACCGACCTCTGCAGTCCCACCCCGACTGCCCCGGCCTGTGTCGCCGCAGCCTCGCGTGCGGGGACAGGGCGAGATCCCAGAGCACTTCTCTGCGGGAGAGCACGCAGCAGCCTCCCACGCCTCCTGCCGATCACCCCGACCGCGGGGCCCTCTCCCAGCGAGCCAGGCTGCTTTAATCGAGCCGATTAACGGCTCTTTCTGGAAGCAGATCAGCCTTCCCTTTGTCGTCCCTGTGTGTGCTCTGAGGCGCAGCCGCTGCCTCTCTGGGCTCTGATAAGAGCTGCAGCAGACAATGGGCCCGGCCGCCTCCGGAGTCTCGTGCCTCGTGCAGGTGATAAACTTCTTAAGCGATAAGCTGCTTAGCGATGAGAGCTGGCTCTTCTCGCCTCGCTTTGCTGGCCCCAGCCCTGTCTCTGTCACTGACTCTTCCGGGTCCAGCTTGCTCCCCCGCCCGCAGCCTAAACCCTCCTCCGCACCCGCCCAGGCCGGGAAGCGCAGCCTGCCGGACTCGGACAAGGCCATCCTGGACATCTTGGAGCACGACCGGAAGGAGGCCCTGGAGGACCGGCAGGAGCTCGTCAACAAGATCTACAACCTGCAGGAGGAGGTCCGGCAGGCGGAGGAGCTGCGGGACAAGGTGGGAGCCCGGACCCCCACCTGCGGGCCTGGGACCAGGTCTGACCCTGCCGCCGGTCCCGGCACCTTGGCTCTTACTCCAGGTGTCGGCCCGCAGCAGGCCTCAGCTGGCCGGCTCGGCTCTGGGTCCCTCCCCATCCGGCCACGTCCCGGCCGTGCCAGCATGGGGGTAAGCCGCTGCAGCCAGCCGGCAGCGGGAAGGCTCGGGAGGCAGGAGCCGGCCTGACGCACGGCCCTGCGGCCTCCCTGTCGCTCGCAGTACCTGGAGGAGAGGGAGGACCTGGAGCTCAAGTGCTCGACCCTGGGGAAGGACTGCGAGATGTACAAGCACCGCATGAGCACGGTCATGCTGCAGCTGGACGAGGTGGAGCGGGAGCGGGACCAGGTACGCACACGGCCACGCGGGGGCCCGCGGCCGCCACGCACGCGTCCGTGGGAGCCCACGTCTCCCATAGCGGAGCACAGCCCCGCCAGGCCAGGTTGTGGGCAAGACAGGTTGAGATCCCAGCCCGGCACTCACGAGGCAGGGGCGTGTGCCCACCTGTGGGCTGTCCCTCGCCGCCTCAGTGCCCACGTGGAAAACGAGTGTGATCACAGCGGCACTGCCGCCCACTGAATCAAGGCTCTGTGTACGAGGCAGAGACAGGCTGAGCCCCTGTGGCTGGTTCACTCCCCGTATGCCTGCGATAGCCCAGGTTGGGCCAGGCTGAAGCCAGGAGCCAGCAGCTCCACCCAGTTCTCCCCCACTGGGGCGGGGCCTGCTTACTTGAGCTGCCCCCCGGAACATGCATTAGCAGGAAGCCAGGACAGGAAGTGAAGCCAGGACTGGAATGCAGCTTCCTTGAGGGGCTGCGGGTGTCCCAGCCCAGCGTCTTGATGCCTGCCCCCCATCGGAGCCCTTCACACGCTGCTGGCAGGGAGCCCCGGCTGCCAGGCTGCCCTGGGGGAGCACCGACGCAGGCAGGCAGGCATGACAGCGCCGCTGAGGCAGACAGCAGGGTGGGAGGCGGTGGGGCACCCTGGGCCTTGGGCTTGGCCCAAGCAGGCTTGGCCCCGCCTCTCCCCGACAAGCCGTCCGTTCCCCAACCCTAGGCCTTGGGCTTGGCCAGGGGAGCCCCAAGCAGGCATGGCCCTGCCTCTCCCCGACAGGCTGTCCATTCCCGCACCCTGGGCCTTGGGCTTGGTCGGGGGAGCCCCAAGCAGGCCTGGTCCCGCCTCTCCCCGACAGGCCGTCCATTCCTGCACCCTGGGCCTTGGGCTTGGTCAGGGGAGCCCCAAGCAGGCCTGGCTCTGCCTCTCCCCGACAGGCCGTCCATTCCCGCACCCTGGGCCTTGGGCTTGGTTGGGGGAGCCCCAAGCAGGCCTGGCCCCACCTCTCCCCGACAGGCCATCCATTCCCGCACCCTAGGCGTTGGGCTTGGTCGGGGGAGCCCCAAGCAGGCCTGGCTCTGCCTCTCCCCGACAGGCCGTCCATTCCCGCACCCTGGGCCTTGGGCTTGGTCGGGGGAGCCCCAAGCAGGCCTGGCCCCGCCTCTCCCCGACAGGCCGTCCATTCCCGCACCCTGGGCCTTGGGCTTGGTTGGGGGAGCCCCAAGCAGGCCTGGCCCCACCTCTCCCCGACAGGCTGTCCATTCCCGCACCCTGGGCCTTGGGCTTGGTCAGGGGAGCCCCAAGCAGGCCTGGCTCTGCCTCTCCCCGACAGGCCTTCCACTCCCGCGACGAAGCCCAGACCCAGTACTCGCAGTGCTTAATCGAAAAGGACAAGTACAGGAAGCAGATCCGCGAGCTGGAGGAGAAGAACGACGAGATGCGGATCGAGATGGTGCGGCGGGAAGCCTGCATCGTGAACCTGGAGAGCAAGCTCCGGCGCCTCTCCAAGGACAGCGGCAGCCTCGACCAGGTGCGCCCGCGCCGGGCCGTGCAGCCCGCCTCCTGAGCCCGCCGCGTGTCTGCGCGGCGATGAGTAGAAAGCGCTCCTTTTGACGTCAGAGGACACAGGGCAAGACCTGCCCCAGCCACGCCCTCACAGGGCCTTCTGCTGACCTCGTGGCTGCTGGCCGGCCACAGCCAGGGCGGCCACCCGCTGGGCCCTTCCCTTCTCTCACTGCAGCTGCTGGGCCCCAGGGTGGCCGTCCTGGTCCATTCTCTGCTGCAGCAGACCACCCCAGAGCTGTGTTGGGTGCGGTTGTGGGGGCTGGGAAGCTGTGTATCAGGGTGCTCGTGTCTGGTGTGGCCTTGTATCCTACGTGGCAGGAGGCCCCCCACGCCGGGTCAGAGCCAGCATGCCAGTGCCAGTGTGGGCCTCTCTTCCTCTTCTGAGAAAACTGCTGATGCGTGTTGGGGGCCCCGTGCTCCTGGAGCTCCCCTAACCCTGTGCACCTGCTGAGGCCCCGCCCTCAGAGACTGGAGATTGATGACAAGTTCGGGATGGAGTGTCCCACAGGTGAACTTGCAGGGACCAGACCATGCAGTAGACGATGCTGCGGTCGTGGCATCCGTGGGCCCAGCAGGTGCCTCATCCATGCGTGTAGTGCACACTTGACCTGTGGGCCTGTCCTGCGAGGCAGGTGCCCGGCTCTGACCGCTGCTCACATCCCAGCTGCCAAGGCACCTGCTGAGGGTCCAGCTCAGCACGTAGCAGCAGCAGCAAACACGGGGCCGTGGTGTTACCGACACAGCGCCATGTTGTGGCCACACGGGGCCGGGAGCCCAAGCAGCAAACACGGGGCCGTGGGGTGGCCACACGGGCCTGGGAGCCCAAGCAGCAAACATGGGGCCGTGGTGTGGCCACACGGGGCTGGGAGCCCAAGCAGCAAACATGGGGCCGTGGGGTGGCCACACAGGGCTGGCAGTCCAAGTCGCAGGCAGCCATGGGAGCCCAGGCAGGAGGCCCATCACTCCCAGCAGGAGGGCTCTCCTCCTCAAATGTTCTCCCGACTTCCCCTGGCCATGTCTCCCCTTCACGCTCTCTCAGGGAGGCCCTCGCTGGTCTCCGTAGTAGAAACCCGAGCCTGTGCCATAGGCTCTTCCCATCCCCTAGGATGTTCCGTGGTCCGTGATCACACATGAGCTCGGTTCCCTACTGCCCGCATGACGCCAGGCACGGGGCAGACCCCATTAGCGTCGGCTCGATCTGTGCACCGCACTCAGGCAGTGGCCCCCGATGAGGAGGGCAAGAGGGCCCGGCACTGCCTGGGGGTCTTCCGCAGCAGGCTGGCGGCTGCCACGACGGGCAGCTGGGGTGTGGTGCAGGCTGGAGACCTTTGCTGCTGCCCTGGGCTGGAAGGGAACGTGCGGGGCTCCCACGGCGCCTGCTCCTGCCCTGGCGCAGCGCCTGGTCCCTGTTCAGTCGCGCTGCAGTGCTTCCTGTGTTTCTGCCTCGGGCACGGCACTAGCGGTTGGGCCTGCACGGGTGGTGCATCTACAGGAAGGGGAGCCCCTGGGTATTGTCACCGGGCCCGGCTCGGAACGGGGTGGGACAGGAGGCCTACAGGGAAGGCACTGCAGAGCTGGAGTGAGGTGTGTGTGGCGGGAGTCAGGGGTCCCACGAGCCCCTGGGGCCGACCTGGCGGCTGCTGCTTACTCATCCAGCTCCGTCACCAGCGCCCATGTCTCTCTCCCCAGAGTCTGCCCAGGAACCTGCCAGCCACCATCATCTCCCAGAACTTTGGGGACGCTGGCCCCAGGACCAACGGCCAAGAGGCTGACGACTCCTCCACCTCGGAGGAGTCGCCCGAAGACAGCAAGTACTTCCTGCCCTACCACCCGCCCCGGCGCAGGATGAACCTGAAGGGCATCCAGGTACCCGGTGCACAGGGCGGCACTGCAGCCCCCGTGGCCGTGGCCGTGGCCGTGGGGCCAGGCGCCACTCAGCAGAAGGCAGCCCTGCACGCAGAAACCCTCCCAGCCGCCCCTCTTCGCACACTTGAGACCCTGATGCCCCTGTCCAGTAAATACAGTCACAGCTGAGGCCAGGAGGAGATTAGCACCACTTCCAGATTCATGTTTCCTCGCTTGGTCACACAGTGCCAGTTGTGCCACTGTCACACGCCTGTCGGGCGCCATCCTCTGCCTGTCGCGTGGCTCCGTGTCTTGAGCAGGCCACAGGTGGTGAACACGTGAGGGAGGGGAATGCATGAGGCTGTCTCATCAGGGCCTGCCAGGCCTCTGCCTCTGCCCCCCACCTCCCGGGGAGAGGCTGTCACCTCAGAGCCTGCCTTCCCGAACCCCCTGTGGCACACACAGCCCCACTCAGCCCCTGCGGCACACGCAGCCCCGCTCAGCCCCTACAGCTCCGCCGCCGTGGCTTGTGTGCCCCACAGCTGCCTGATGCAGGCCCGGGGGCTGCTGTGTCTCGTCTTGCCAGGGGCGCTGGCACAGCCATGTGTATGTGCCAGCCCAGGCGGCCACAGGACGAGGGCCTGCTGGGCTCATGTTCAGCTCTGTGAGGCATCGCGGGCCTCATCTGACTGTGTCCTCTGTCGGGTTCTCGCCCCTCTTTCAGCTGCAGAGAGCCAAATCCCCCATCAGCGTGAAGCGCACATCAGATTTTCAAGGTGAGCCAGAGCCCGGCCCCCTCTCGCCTGTGTCGTATGTCACTCTGCCTCTCGCAGCCCGTCTGCTTTCCCTACCCACCGCAGCAACCACCACGCTGCACGGGAAACCTGGGCCAGGCCTCGGCGTCCAGATAGGGACGTCACCTCTGTGGCTCCCCACCCCCCGCCCCGCCCCTGCCCATGGGTCTCTGCCGCTGGAACGTGCCCTTTGCCTCACAGCTCATCAGCCGGAGAGCACCTTGACCCTCATCCTAGGGCTTTTTTGGGCCACATGGCCATGGGCCCAAGCCCATTCATCCTAAGCCCCTCATCCTCCCAGACACTGTCCTCTCTCTCCTCGGGATTCTTCCAGATGTGGGAAGACACCCCCAGAGCCCACGCACTGAGGCAGGGCCAAGGGAGGGACTCTCGGGAGATAGGAGGAGAATGTGTTGACACTGGGCCTGGGGGAGACAGGAGGAGAATGTGTTGACACTGGACCTGGAACAGGGAGCATCAGGGCACGTGGACGCCGGCCTGGGAGGACTGCACAGGGGGCCGTGTTACGCTGGAGCAGCTTGGCCGTCCTGGCGCACGGAGCAGGGGAGCACTGGGCAGGAGACAGTGGTGGGCAGGGGCAGGGCAGGCCTGCGGGCTGGGGCCAGAAACCTGGACGCCTTCCTCCAGGTGGCGTGGGTAGGGCCGGAGAGTGAGCAGTCCACAGCTGTTCCCTTGAGGCCCAGAGGCCCCTCGTGGCCACATCTTGCCTTTCTTTATCGTGAGAGAGCCGAGGGCCTGGGCCTCTGGGGAAGCCAAGACGTTTGTCCCGAAAAGCAGAGGCCGGGTGCATCGGAGCCCTAGGGCCACTTGGTTGTCCCTGCGAGGTGCACACAGGTGTGTGTGTGTACACATGTGCACACACGGGGGGGGGGGGGGGCAGGTGCAGGATTTCAGCTGAGGGTTGAGAGGGCTGTGCCCAGGGCCTGAAGACAGCCCAGGGTTGGGAGTGCAGAGGGAGAAGCTGCCAGACTCAGCCCCCAGTCTGCCCTGGTCTCCTGCGGGCCAGCCCGGCGTGGCAGGGGAAGATGCTGGGGGAACTCCTGCTCCCCTGGACCGGTCCTTCCTGTTGTCCGTTGCTGCATGGGGAGTGTCAGCCGGGGACCCCGTGAGTCCTCTCAGACAGGTACTAGGTCAGCCTCACGGGGCTGCCTGGCCTGGCCCTGTGTGCACTCACACACCCCCACCAAGGCCACAGTCAGGCAGAGGAATACGGGAAATACAAAGAGGACCTCTTTCAGCTCTGTCCTGCAGCAGATGGGGGGTAGCGTGAGGCCCCCGGCAGAGGACCCTCATCCCCACGCGTGTCAGCAGGGGTTTGGGACCCAGCGGGACAGAGAAGCCCTGTGCTCAGCAGCCTGGGGCTCTCACTTCCTTTCCCTGCTTCTCTCTCTCCCCCTCCAACCTCGGACCCTCCCTGGCCCTGCCCTGGCTCCCTGCCGGGTCTGGGGTAGCCAAGGGGCTCGAGGAGGACGGCGCCGATGCCAGCCCCAGCTCCTCGCAGTCTCTGCCCATCACCAGCTCCTTCGCCAAGATGGTAAGCCGCCGTGGTCCCCTGCCGGGCCACCAGCGAGCCCCACGAGGGCTGGGACCCACAGGGCTCCTCCCAAGCCAGGCCTGTGAGCAGCAGCACTTCCCGCCCAGGCTGCCGCCTGCACTCGGCCTTGCTGATAGCTTTCCCTGGCTTCGTGGGCGTTCACACCTCTTCTCCGCCCCTTCCAGTTTAACACAGTGTATGTGTGTACACATGGTGGGAGGAGGAGACGGGCCTCCCAGGGGCTGCTGCAAACTGCCACAGCCCCTCAGCCCAGGCAGCTGGAGCCATGGGTGCACTGCAGAGCCGAGGCCCAGGACCCCTCCCCTGACCCAGCATCCCACACTGCTCAGCTGTAGCCTGGCAGAGGGTAGGGTCCCAGACCCCAGGCCATAACAGCAGGCCCAGGACCAGGCCCTTGATAATGAGTGAGTCCTGCCTGCTGACAGCTCCACGTGGCAAAAAAAAAACCAGGGCTCTTCCTCACAGGAGCCAGAGGCCACCCACCCACGGCTGTGCAGTCTCGGGAGGTCCCCACCTCACCCCAGGCCCGCTGTGTCCAGAGCAGGTGCCTGCATCGGGCAGAGCCCTGAGGACTTGGAGCTCTGCCCAGTCGTCCTGAGCCTGGGCCAGTTCCTGCTGGCGCCCTTCCTGGGAGCAGCTGTGTGGGCAGATGTGCTCCAGGCTTGCGGCTGCGTCTCCCCAGGCTGAGCCCGAGCCTTCTCCCGGCCAAGGTGGCCACTGAGAACCAGCCGGCTGCTCCGTGCTGCCACCTGAGTTACCTGGTCCCCGTGTGTGACACCCACGCTGCGGAGGCGTGGGCTGTGTGTGCCCGGCTCCGGGTTACCCTTGGTCCCCGTGTGTGACGCCCATGTCGCAGAGGCGTGGGCTGTGTGTGCCCGGCTCCAGGTTACCCTTGGTCCCCGTGTGTGACGCCCACACTGCGGAGGTGTGGGCTGTGTGTGCCCAGCTCCGGGTTACCCTTGGTCCCCGTGTGTGACGCCCACACTGCAGAGGCGTGGGCTGTGTGTGCCCGGCTCCAGGTTACCCTTGGTCCCCGTGTGTGTGACACCCACACTGCAGAGGCGTGGGCTGTGTGTGCCCGGCTCCAGGTTACCCTTGGTCCCCGTGTGTGACACCCACACTGTGGAGGTGTAGGCTGTGTGTGCCCGGCTCCGGGTTACCCTTGGTCCCCGTGTGTGACACCCACACTGCGGAGGTGTAGGCTGTGTGTGCCCGGCTCCGGGTTACCCTTGGTCCCCGTGTGTGACGCCCATGTCGCAGAGGTGTGGGCTGTGTGTGCCCGGCTCCGGGTTACCTTTGGTCCCCGTGTGTGACGCCCATGTCGCAGAGGCGTGGGCTGTGCGTGCCCGGCTCTGAGTTACCCTTGGTCCCCGTGTGTGACACCCGTGTCGCAGAGGCGTGGGCTGCGTGCCGGCTCCTGTGAGGCGCCCATGCACGTGTGTGACGGCCGTGTCGCGGAGGCGTGGGCTGCGTGCCGGCTCCTGTAAGGCGCCCGTGCACGTGTGTTTGCAGCAGCCCCCTCGCAGCCGGAGCAGCATCATGTCCATCACAGCCGAGCCCCCTGGAAACGACTCCATCGTCAGACGCTACAAGGAAGATGCGCCGCATCGCAGGTGGGGACGGTCGCTGCCCCCCACACGCCCGTCTCTGTAGCAGTCTCGGAAGCAACCTGGGGGGGTGGCGCCCATTGTGCCCACAAGGACATGGAGGCTTCAGAACGGAAGTGGCCTTCCTAGGTCACCTCATGAGTGTCAGACGCCAAAGCCTGTGTCTTGGCTCCATGCAGCCCAGCAATCAGGTCCCTAGGTCCATGGCCTCAGGGCTTGGCTTTCTCTGCCTAAATGTGAGAGGCCCAAGGACATCTTCCCCACCAGAACCGCTAGTGTCCGTAGCCAGGTGCGCCTGGCATCGGTGTTCCGAGTCAGATTGTCAGTGGCTCCCAGAAGTCCTGAGAGCAGGGGGTGCCGGGGAGCCCAACTTTGCCTGGCCAGCTCTGGAGGGTGGGTGCAGGGTCAGCAGGATAGACCCACCGTATTCGAGCCCAGCTGTGGGACCCCCAGCCTGGCAGGTTTCCTGAACAGCCGGCTCCCTCTGGCCGGCGTGCAGAGGGGTTCCAGGGTTTTCGGGAGGCCACCTCCACCTGATGCCTGCTGTGAGAGGCACATGTAGACAGCAAGGACCTGCCGCCCTGGAGCCCTCGCCCCTCCGTTCCTGTCGCAGTACCCTGGGCTGCTGTGTACCTGTCAGCCAGTGCAGCCACGCGCTGGCCGTCAGAGCGGGCAGGGCTGTCGGGAACTCAGGCTCAGCAGCCGCCTGGCCCTCACCCCACACACTCCGGCCCCAGCCGCTGACCGTCCTGCCCACGCTGCCCTTCAGAAGCGAGGCCTCTCAGCTAGAACATGCCAGGACGTCCGCGCCTCGCCCACCTGCACACACAGTCACACAGTGTCCTCCCCTGCCCCGCTCGTGTCTTGCAGCACAGTCGAAGAAGACAACGAGAGTGGCGGCTTTGACGCCTTGGACCTGGACGGTACGTGCCCGTCTGCGAGGCGTCGCAGGAACGGTGGCCGCACGGGCCGTCTGGTCAGAGCAGGGCCTGCCCAGGAAGGAAGCCTGCACACAGTAGCTGCTCAGGGTCGTGTGTGGAATGGGCTCAGGGGAGAGCCGCGGGGCGGGGAGCAGAATCAGGCCTGGCCTCCTTTTGTTTTTATTTGAGAGAAACAAAGAGCCAGACAGAGTGCTTCCCTCCCAGGTACCCGCACCAGCCAGGGCCAGAGCCGGGAGCCAGCCGTGCAGTCCACGTTTCCTGCGTGGGTCTGAGCCGCCAGACCACTGCTCCCAGGGTTTGCCTGGCAGGGAGACAGGCAGGCGCCCAGTCCAGACCTGGGGTGCGGGACGCAAGCCCCTGCGCCATGCCCAGGGGTCTGGGTGTCTAGAGAGGAGTCGCTGTGTCTCAGCAAGGCCGTGGAGACGCCCAGCCCATCCACTGGGTCCCGTCGAGTCTGACCCAGCTGCTGCTCACAGAAGTGCTGCCTTAGTTTCATCACTAGAGGAAGAGACGCCGAGCAACCAGGAGTGCCCCTGACAAACGCGTGTGTGCTGCTGAGCGCCCTGCGCAGGGGTCGTCGGGCGGGGCTGGCACCGGGGGTGGGCATCGCAGCTGAGGCAGACCCTGGGGCCCTGACCCCATCGGGAAGGGCAGCGAGCGCAGGGCCTGAGGCCGTCCCATCAGCCTGGAGTAGGCCGGGTACAAGGTTCGAAACGAGAGCAGAGAGTGGGAGTCCTCACGAGCCGGGAGGCCCAGTTCAACCCGGCCAGCCTCACCAGGCCCGGTGCTGGTGCCTGGGATGCAGACGCGCATCCCCAGGCCCTCACTGGGTGGAGGCTGTGGAGTGATGGCTGTGACTTCAAGTTAGGAGCAAAGAGGACACAGGAGGCGTGGTCATGGCCTTCTGAGGGAGGTGCCTGCCCCGCCCCCAGGAGGCAGCAGCCCCACTGTTCTCTCCCCCGGCACTGCCCCCGGCTTTGGGTGGCTGTCCTTAACTGGGGGCCATCAGAAGCAGTGTGAGGGGGGAGCCGCTTATGGAGGCAGGGTAATGACAAGAATTAGAAGGGCTTTGGAGAGGGGGGCTGGGAGCAGAATCCTGGGCAGCCTTCCAGAGGATGTCTGCAGCAGCGGGAAAAGCTTCACCGAGAAGCCTTATCAGCACCGAGCCGGCGTGTGCGGGCCTGCAGACGGTGGGCCCTGGGGTCCGGCCGGGCTGGGAAGACAGGCGGGGCCTGCACTCCGCCCTGCCGGCTGGCTCCCTTCCTGCAGCAGTCCCAGAATGGAACTCAGGGGCAGCACCAGGATCTGTTCACCGAGGCCTTGCTTTCCGCTCGGTCTCAAAACCCAGATGGCTGGCAGAGGCAGGGGGTTGGCTGCGTTGGAAAGACACAAGGGTTCAGCCATCCCAGCGCCTGCCCCGGCCCTCGCGGTGGGCGGGTGCCGTCCCCAGGGCTCCCCCGGCCCCCACCGCTGCTGACGGCGCTGCTCCGTTGTAGATGACAGCCACGAGCGCTGCTCCTTTGGACCCCCCTCCATCCACTCCTCCTCCTCCTCGCACCAGTCCGAGGGCCTGGACGCCTATGACCTGGAGCAGGTCAACCTCATGTTCAGGAAGTTCTCTCTCGAAAGGTACAGAGGTTGTCCCAGAGTCCCAGCTGGAATCGGCACACCTGAGGCGGAGGTCGCCGCCTCTGAGGGCTGACCGGGGGCGCCCCGCAGGGTGGAGGCAGAGGCAGGGCCCCATCGTGGCACATGAAGCCCACGGACAGCACAGGCTCTGGACAGCGGCTCCCCGGCCACAGCAGCAGGAGGGTGGCCAGCTCCGCGTGTGTCTCCTGGAGCGGGGCTCGGTTGTGAGCTCACTGCCCGTGGCCAGGGAGGCAGCCCAGAGTGCAGTTCCCGGGGGCCCACACACACCGTGTCCTGGGCGGGGCTTCCTCCCGGCTCGGCCGCTCCTGACGCTGCCATCTTTCCTGACCCAGGCCCTTCCGCCCCTCGGTCACATCTGGGGGGCACGTACGGGGCCCTGGGCCCTCGGTGCAGCACACAACACTCAACGGTGACAACCTCATCACGCAGCTCACCCTGCTGGGGGGCAACGCCCGCGGGAGCTTCATCCACTCCGTCAGGCCCGGCTCCCTGGCTGAGAAGGCGGGCCTGCACGAGGGCCACCAGCTGCTGCTGGTGAGGGGCCAGCGGGGGGCTGGGGGCTTCCTCCCTGGGCTCTGACGGGGACCCCTAAGGCTCGCCAGGAAGAGGGAGCCACATGGAGGGCCGCTGAGCTGTCTGTACCTCCGAGCCCTTCTGTCCCCAGCCCCCTGCCTGTGTGTCCAGAGCCTGTGTGCACACGGCACATGTAACATGCTCCCAGGGCATGCGGGGAGGCAGGGGCAGCCCCTGGGAGGGGCGTGGCCGGAGGCAGGGGCACCCCCTGAGAGGGGCGTGGCCGGGACGCAGGGGCAGCCCCTGGGAGGGGCGTGGCCGGGACACAGGGACACCCCCTGGGAGGGGCGTGGCCGGGGGCAGGGGCACCCCCTGGGAGGGGCGTGGCCGGGACGCAGGGGCACCCCCCTGGGAGGGGCGTGGCCGGGAGGCAGGGGCACCCCCTGGGAGGGGCGTGGCCGGAGGCAGGGGCACCCCCGGGAGGGATGCTCTCTTCCCTCCCAGCAGCCCTGGGCTGCCCCTCTGACCAGGAGGAGCGCTCACTTCCTGGCTCCCCTGGGTGCGGGGCCGAGGGGAACGATGTGTCTCTGGTACCCAGCTCGAAGGCTGCATCAGAGGCGAGAGGCAGAGCGTGCCCTTGGACTCTTGCACAAAGGAGGAGGCTCACTGGACCATCCAGAGGTGCAGCGGCCCCGTCACCCTGCACTACAAGGTCAACCAGGAAGGTGAGGCCCGAGCCCTGCAGCACTGGCTCCTCACAGGGGCAGCCCTGACCCTGGACAGGTGACCTCGCCCTCCAGGTCTCTACCTGCTCCCCGCTCCCCCAGGGTGTCCTGGGCTGTCTGGTGGGCCAGGTGGACACCACGCCCCCAGCCACAAGGGCAGCGTTGGAGGCGGCAGCCCAGGCCACGCCGTGGCTCACCAGCTCCAAGTGTGAAGTGTGCTCCCTCCCTCTGGCTCCCAGTGGCCTCGCGGCGAGCGTGGCTGCTGAGTCGCATCGTGGCCCCAGCAGGTTTTCATATCAAAGCCTCTCTCTCAGCTGGGACTCCAGTGGGCAGCAGGCCCTGAGCTCTGTTTTCGCCGTCTCAGGTCCGAGTCCCCCTCCTCCCCTCTGGTTTTCCCGCGTGGGTCTCTCTGCAGCTGCGTCTGACTTTGCAACACAGCCCCGTGAATGTTTCAGCAGAGCGCACAGCCGCTGCCCTGCGCCGCCCGCGTGCGCCCCTCCTGTACTGCCCCGCTGTGCTGGGGGCAGGGACTGATGATGGCACCCCGGCCCCTGCCCCCGGGCCTGGCCCTCCCACCCTGCAGAAAGTCTGAACGAGGCTCTGTGCCCCGGGCAGCGGGGCCCGGCATTGTGTAGCACAGCGCTGCCTTCGGGAGTTCCCAGGAAAGTTCTCTCTAGCGGTGGGGATCTCGGGTGAGCCCAGCTAGGGGGCTGGAGGGGGGCGGGCGCACCCAGCAAAGGCTGGACTCCCGAAGCACCAGCGGGAAGCTGGGAGCGTCCCCCTGCAGGCTGGCGTGACCCTGGGTGTGTGGATGAGCGGCTCGGCCCCCTCTGAGCCCATCTGCCCCTGAGTGATGCGGATGCCGCCTGTGTGAGGGACCTGTGACCATGCGGTCACAGCCAGCTTGCTGCGTCCGGAGTATTCCGAGCACCTGTCTGGCTTCCTTCCGAAGCATTTGCAAAAATCTGCTCAAAAGGACTGTGGTGTTGAAGTCAGGGAACACAGCGTGGGCTGCGGTCCCGGTGTCCCACGGAAACCGTCCGGCGGCATCTACGCAGACTGCAGAGAGACGCCACCCACGGGGCGTGGACGCCCGATCACCCGGACACCCAGGAAAGCAGACTCCACAGCTCACAGGCCCTTAGCATGATGCTCTTCACCTGCGCACCCCACCCCCCAGCCTTCTCTGGTACCTGCTACGGCGTAGGTGCCGGGAGTAACAACAGGAGGGAGACTACGCATTAGTACAGGCGCAGGCTTGCACGCTTTCCTTACTAATATTTATTTATTTAAGAGTTACACGGAGGAGAGGTAAAGAGAGAGAGGTCTTCCATCCACTACTTCACTCCCCAGATGGCCACGACAGCTGGAGCTGGGCCAGTCTGAAGCCAGGAGCCTTCTCCAGGTCCGCCACGTGGGTGCAGGGGCCCAAGGACTTGGGCCATCTTCTGCTTTCCCAGGCCAGAGTGGAGAGCTGGATCAGAAGTGGAGCAGCCGGGATTTGAACTGGTGCCCATATCTGGCGTCCATACGGGATACTTTACCCACTACGCCACAGCACCGGCCCCTTTCCTGACATTTTTAATCCTGGGTTGAACCTGTGAGTGTGAAGCCACGGCAGAGCTGGCTGTGTGTGGTTAGCTGTGCCCTTGGTGAGCAGCGAGGGAAGGCTGTGCCCCTGCCCACTCGGGAGCAGGCAAAGAGCGCTTGCTGCAAGCTATTCATAGCTATGCACCCGGGGCACGCAGTAGCCCAGAGGAGGATTGGGGGTGCCCACCAGCACACTGTGGCGTCATGCACAGCCCTCCTGGACAGGCCTGTCTCTGGGGTGGCACACAGCCCCCTGTGGCTATGGCAGCCTGGGTACAGGCCACCCTGGGGGAGGAGGCATTGACAGCAAGCACCCCACCATGGCGCCCTGCCAGTGTACATCGTGAAAGTTCGCTGAGCCGAAGGCTGGGGAATCTATGCCGTTCACCGTATTCCGAGTTTAGCCTCCATGTGGACAAACAAAGCACGTGGGCTGGCCGTGCAGAAGGCAGGGAGGTGGGGCAGGAATGCCTGCGAGGGGCGTCGTGGCAACTCAGCTTGGAGCTTCCTGGCAGCCAGGGTGAAAAGGAGAGCTTGTCAATGGCATAGCCAGCCGTTCACCGGGAAGAAACCTTTCCACCGGCCGTGAGCTCAGCAGTGGACAGTGCGGGCAGCTGTCGAGGGGGTGGTGAGCACATGTGCTTGCTTGGAGGTGCCCTCACAGCCGGGGGCCCACGCCTGTAGGGGTCTGGCTGGCGTTTGGAATGGCTCTTCCCTGCGCAGGGTACCGACGGCTGCTCAAGGACATGGAGGAGGGTCTGATCACATCCGGCGACTCCTTCTACATCCGCCTGAACCTGAACATCTCGAGCCAGCTGGACGCCTGCTCCATGTCCCTCAAGTGTGACGACATCGTGCACGTGCGCGACACCATGTACCAGGACAGGCACGAGTGGCTGTGTGCGCGCGTCGACCCGTTCACCGACCACGACCTGGACATGGGCACCATCCCCAGCTACAGCCGGTGAGGCCAGGCTGCCCGCGTCAGCACAGGGGCCCGCGCCTCTGCTGGCTGACAGTGAGGCCCCCGGGACACGGCTCCGTCCCTTCACTGAGCTCTTCAGCCTAGCGCAGCGTGGCCCTCCACCGCACACCCTTCCCTGCCTGCTGGTCGCCTGTTCTCTGTAGTCCGTGTCTGTCTGTCACACCCGCACACGCACACACAGAGGAAGCGGAGCCCGGGCAGGGGGCAGGCACCGGCACAGGTGTCCCGAGGGCATCTGTACACCAAAACCGTGACACGGGCGAGACCAGGGTGAACACGGGCAGGCCGGGCTCCCAGATGAGGCCGGCAGCGTTGGGGGCAGACACAGGCAGCTGAGGGCCCTCCCGGCACGCGCCCAGCCCCTGCTCAGCCCCGGGGCCCCGTCGCAGCCACTCAGGCGCCTCCCCTCTTGCCCCTCAGGGCCCAGCAGCTCCTCCTGGTGAAGCTGCAGCGCCTGATGCACCGCGGGGCCCGGGAGGAGGCGGACGGCGGCCACCACACCCTCAGGACGCTCCGGGTAGGTCGGCTGCACGGCTGCACGGCCCCGCGACGGCCCTGTGTGAACCGGGGGAGGGGGGCGACAGGGCCCAGCCTGAGCGACTGGGAGCCCTGCCCCTCATGCCCTGGCTTCAGGCAGACTGGCACCCGAGTGCTGGTTGCCAGCCCAGCTTGTCCGTCTCCCATCCCCACTGGAGCCACGCCCTCCGGGGCCCGGGGATTCCTGCTCCCCACCCCCAGCTGCTCGGCGCTGGCGCCTTGATCCGTGCCCACAGACGGGCAGGTGCACGGGGCTCTGGCTCCTGCAGCTCTGCTGACTGGTCCACTCCTTCCAGAACACGCTGCAGCCCGAAGAGCTGCTGTCCACCAGCGACCCCCGGGTCAGCCCCCGCCTCTCGCGGGCGAGCTTCCTGTTTGGCCAGCTCCTGCAGGTAAGGCCCACAGAGCGCCTGCTGACCGGGCAGCCACGTGCCGCGGTGACTGCGCTCTACCCACGGAGGGGAGAAGCTGGCGTGCGAACAGCTGTGCCCACCTGTGGTGCCACATGTGCGCGTGTATTTTGTCCCCCTGAGTGCTGGCTGGGCAGACGGGCCCTGAGCCTGCAGGAGGCCTGTGGCGCTGCCACGAGGGGTCAGTGAGACGCGTGGCCATAACAGGTCAGGCTTCCGGACTATTAGTTAATAGAAAATCTGAGCTGTTGAGCTTCCTGGCAGCCAAAGGGAAAGCAGGAAGTTGTTCAGCTGCTGGACGTGTGCGGATGTGTCCATCGAGGTCCCTGCCCGGGACGTGTGCTGCGTGCAGGGGTGCAGAAGGGCTCTTTGTGTCCACTTCCTGGTGAGCGGCCAACAAGCTCAGGGACTGGATCGGAACGGGAGCTGTGAGTGTTTCTGTGCAGGCGCTGCGCCCGTCACCGGGGGACCACAGCCGACATGAGAAGGGGGAGTCCATGGGTTCTGCTTCGGTGTGGACGTGGGCATTACGTCCACGGGTTCTGCTTTGGTGTGGACAGGGGCATTACGTCCACGGGTTCTGCTTCGGTGTGGACGTGGGCATTACGTCCGCGGGTTCTGCTTCGGTGTGGACAGGGGCGTTATGTCTGCAGGTTCTGCTTCGGTGTGGACAGGGGCGTTACGTCCGCGGGTTCTGCTTCAGTGTGGACAGGGGCGTTATGTCCGCGGGTTCTGCTTCGGTGTGGACGTGGGCATTACGTCCGCGGGTTCTACTTCGGTGTGGACAGGGGCGTTATGTCTGCGGGTTCTGCTTCGGTGTGGACGTGGGCGTTACGTCCGCGGGTTCTGCTTCAGTGTGGACATGGGCGTTACGTCCGCGGGTTCTGCTTCAGTGTGGACGTGGGCGTTACGTCCGCGGGTTCTGCTCCGGTGTGGACATGGGCGTTACGTCCGCGGGTTCTGCTTCAGTGTGGACGTGGGCGTTACGTCCGCGGGTTCTGCTTCGGTGTGGACGGGGGCGTTACGTCCGCGGGTTCTGCTCCGGTGTGGACGTGGGCGTTACGTCCGCGGGTTCTGCTCCGGTGTGGACAGGGGCGTTATGTCCGCAGGTTCTGCTTCGGTGTGGACGTGGGTGTTACGTCCGCGGGTTCTGCTCCGGTGTGGACGTGGACGTTACGTCCACGGGTTCTGCTTCGGTGTGGACAGGGGCGTTACGTCCACGGGTTCTGCTTCGGTGTGGACGGGGGCGTTAGCCCCTGCAGCCAGGGGTCTCTGGTAGGGTAACGGCAGACATGCGGTGAAGAGATGCCTGGGTTCCAGGAACCGCACCGGAAGAAGCTTAGCTCCTGCGTCTGTTTTCATCTCGTTTCTAAGAGCTCTTCCATCCCGCGTTCACCCCCAAATGCCCACAACAGCCAGGACCAGGAGCCTGCAGCTCCAGGCTGGTCTCCACGTGGGTGGCGGGGACTCGGGTACTTGGGCCGTCGCTGCTCTCTCCAGGAGCGCGCAGTAGCGGGGCTGGAGCAGAGGCAGAGGCGGGGCCTGCACCGGGCCCTGGGACGGGGGACGCAGGAGCCCCCAGCGCCGGCCCCCACACTGGCGTACCCCAGTGGAGCACGGGTGATGCCCCAGTGCTGGAGAGGAGACCGCGAGGGAAGGCAGCAGCACGCTCCTAAGGCCAGGTCCACACAGCAGGCGGCAGAGAAGCCTGGCCAGGGCGGGACCGAGGGCGCAGCCACAGCATCACACCTCATGTCACCCAGAGTCAGAGCATGTGGCCGAGGACGCCCAGCCCCGGCCAGGCCCTAGCTCCTGCACTTGCCTCCATGCAGATGGAGGGGTGGGGAGACCCCGGTCACCCGGGGACATGGCGCGAGCCTGGGCGCAGAAGAAGGCGCCGTTCTGCCTTCCGGGATACAGCTCTGAGTTGTAGCCGGCAGCAGGCGCCTCGCGGTGCAGGAGCGCAGGGCAGGGGAGGCCAAGGTGTCAGGCACCTGCCCGCTGGGGCTCGTCAGCCCAGCGCCCCGAGCGAGGCGAGGGCCGGCTCAGGGTGGCGAGCACAGGCGTCTGTCCACTCTGCCCCTGCCAGTGCCGAGGGCCCAGGGGCCTGCTCTCCTCGGCGGGGGCGTGCGGCCCGGGGCAGAGCGGGATTCCCGCAGAGGACCAGCCTCACGCCGCTGGCCACTGGCCGTGCAGTTTGTCAGCAGGTCCGAGAACAAGTACAAGCGCATGAACAGCAACGAGCGGGTGCGCATCATCTCGGGGAGCCCGCTGGGCAGCCTGGCTCGCGCCTCGCTGGACGCCACCAAGCTGCTGACGGACAAGCCGGAAGGTGCGTGCCGGCCTTGGTCACATACGCCTGTCCCCACTGGGCGGCGGCCACGTCCCCGCTCGTGGCCCTGCTCAGCGTGAGCGTCGCCTCCTGGTTTCTTTCCCACCCAGGGCCTTTACCATTCCCCAGTGGGGGAGGGGTGCCCAGGGAAGCCCGGTGCTAACTGGCAGAGGAAGGCCCCGCCCCATAGGCTGGCGGGGCAGGACAGGGAGGAGAGGGACAGGCGGCCGGCCCACGCCTCTGCTGCACTCCCTGCACACAGCCCCGGGCGGCTGCTAAGGGGAGCTGCGGCCAGTGTGCCCTGCGGCTTGCCTGGCCCCTGCCGTCCCTCCCCTCCCCCCAGCCCAAGCCCTGCCAGGAAGCACCCGGCTTTGTGTGCGCCAGCGCCTGCCCTGGGTGCTCAGAGCCGTGTGGTCGGCAGCTGTGCGCCCGAGCAGCGCCCTGGGCAGGTTCCTGACAGCAGCCCCTCCGTCCCCAGCAGAGCTAGACCCCGAGAGCGAGCTGGGCCGGAACCTCAGCCTCATCCCCTACAGCCTGGTGCGCGCCTTCCACTGCGAGCGCCGCCGGCCCGTGCTCTTCACGCCCACCTCGCTGGCCAAGACGCTGGTGCAGAAGCTGCTCAACTCGGGGGGCGCCATGGAGTTCACCATCTGCAAGTCAGGTGCGCCAGGGACCGCCCGCTGGCCCCACGCGAGTGCCCTGCTCACGGGGGTCACAGGTCAGCGGGAGTCTGGACCCCACTCCAGGCTGTGGGCGCAAGGCTGGACGCGCACCCCCGGGCAGCCACCTGCCCTAGCCACCGCCCCCCGAACTTGCTCCCCTGCCTGGGCAGTCGCTGCCCAGTCCCCCACCCCCGGTCTATTCCCTGTCCAGTTTGGGTCCAGGTGTGGGCCCTGCAGCTCATCCCTGGAAGGCCAGGATTGCGGCAGCCGCTTCTGGAGGTGGGACTTGGGGTGGGGGCAGGGCTCTGGTCCTGGTGCCCAGGGGAGCTGGCTGCGGCCCCGCCTCCCTTCTCTGCAGGGGCTGGGCGCGTCCTACCCCTCCAAGGCCCAGCTGCTGGGCGCAGCGCCCTCCTCCTGCCTGAGCCCCGGGAGCCGCAGGCCCTAAGGGCCAGGCCGGGAAGACTCCTGCTCAGCAGACACAGGCGCCACGGTCGGTGCCAGGCATGGCCGGGCTCCACCTCTGCAGGCCGCTCC